GGCAGCTCGCGCAGGTGCTCTGGCTGCACCACGTGCGCGTCCTCGGCCTCTACCCCGGCCCCGGCCTCCGATGGTTGTAGTAGGGGGCGCAGGTGCCTGATCATCTCTGGTAGCACGTGTCCTCACCATCTGTGAGAGAATAGAAGACAGAANTGGCACCTAGTCTCTATAACTAGGTAAGCCTAACAAATGCGGAACATAAATGAAACTTGTGGAATAAATAATCAAAAGCCAAAATAACTGAATGAAAACAATAGTTAAAATGTCGCTCGGCATATGCAACACAACATTCTCAAAATCAAGTACACTATCCCAAAACCCAAAAAGTCACGGAACCACAAGCTTTTAGATATCTACAATGTCTAACTCCAGAATATCTAACAAGGGAAAGAAATATAGAAAGACAAATATTTAAAAGCTAGAATAGAAAGGGATTTCTCGGTCTGTAGACGCGGCAGATGCACCTCGAAGTCTCTAGAGCAGTCGCCTCGCCTCACGGGTGATAGGACTGAGTCGCATTACCTGGATCTGCACATGAAAATCATGCGCAAAAGGGGCATGAGTACACCACAGCGGTACTTAGTAAGTGCCAAGCCTAACCTCGGTCGGGTAGTGACGAGGAAGGTCAGGGCCCTACTGAGGTTAAATAAAATATAAAGATCAACAATATAGAACAGAACAGTATAAATAAGTACAACAGTAAAATAACACAAGATGTACAGGACAACAACAACTATACAGAAGCAAGGTAAACACGGAAAAGAAATATAGCTTAGCACTAATAATAACAATCGGGGATCTCCCAGGATATCGTCCTGTAGTCCCATACGTACATATCCAATGGATCTCCTGGGATCCCGTCCCGTAGTCCAACTCATAGTGCGCGGGGATCTACCGGAATCCCGTTCCGTAGTCCCAAATGTAAATACCTAGTACTAGGGGAATCTATCGGGTGCATTCCTGTAGTTCCATATAACTGTGCAGGGAGATATACCGGAATCCCATATCCGTATTCCCAAAATAAATACACAGCAGCAACAGGAAAATATACAGAAATGACAAAATTTCATATTAAGGCAACAAGTGATTCTAGCCTAGCATGCTGCACAGAATTTAGGTAAGGCAGGTTGAGCAAATAAAGCAATTAAATCACTTAAACATGCTTTCCTAAGCTAACAACAGGCTTAATAGTGCAAGTAATAGAAACAGGAAAGGAAACATACTAGTAATTACTTTAAAAAACTGGATTTCCAACAAATAGCACACGTACGCACTCGACACCTCACATACAAGGCATTTCAAATACCAAATATACCAATCCTAAAAGGAAGGTCCCCCACACTAGGTTAGACAAGCCACTTACCTCGAACCGGCTCAATAATCAATCCGAAACCACGCTCTTGCCACGAGTACTCGATTCCAAATGTCCCAAATCTATTTAATTCAATTTCATAATGTAAATAACACTTCAAGTAATTGATTCTACAAAGAAATTCTAAGCTAATACACGAAAATTAGGTAAAATGACCAAAACACCCCTTGGGCCCATGTCTCGGAATCGGGTAAAATTTGTATTTTAAGAATCCTCACGCCCTTACGAGTTTATGCATACCAAAATTATCCAAATCTAAGGTCAAATTCCCAATCAAAAGTCGAATTCTAAGTCTAAGAACTTTCTTCCAACTTTTCCCCAATTTTCATCTCCAATCCGAAATTAAATGATGAAACTAACTATAGATTGATGGAATATAACTAAAAAGGGTTAAAGAATCGTTACCCAATGATCTCTTAAATTTCCTCTCAAAATCGGCCTCTCCCGAGCTCCAAATCAAATTTTCAATTTTTGAAACTAAACCCTCGAAATTTTATATTTCTGCCCAGCTGCTTCCGCATCTGCGATCCCGCTTTTGCGGACCAAAGGTCGCATCTGCGACTTCTCACTTAAGGGCCAGCTTCCGCATCTGCGACTCCCAATCCGCAGATGCGGTACCGCTCCTGCGGAATTACCACCGCTTCTGCAGTTCCTGAAGAAATTCCCCAATTCCGCTTTTGCGGCCACTGAGTCGCTTCTGCGGAACCCAAACTGTATGTACGGTTATGACAGAACCAGCAGCTTCAGCTGCAACTCTAACTCCAAAAATCCTTCCGTCAACCATCCGAATTCATCCTGAGGCCCCCGCGACCTCAACCAAAGGCACCAACAAGTCACAAACCACTACTCAAACTTGTACCAATCCTTAAAACGCTTAAAACAACGTCGATACCTCGAATTAACCATGGATTTAAGCCTAAGAACTCCAAAATTCTCAAAAATACGCTTTCGATCAAAAAGTATATCAAACCTCGTCCGAGTGACCTGAAATTTTGCACACACGTCACATTCAATACTACGGAGCTATTCCAATTTCCGAAATTCCATTCTGACCCTCGGATCAAAATCTCACTATCGAACCGAAAACTTCAAAATTCGACCTTTCGGCATTTCAAGCCTAAATTAGCTACGGACCTCCAAAACACAATCCGAAAATGCCCCTAAGCCCGAAATCACCCAATGGAGCTAACTGAACCATCGAATTTTCATTCCGAGGTCGTCTTGATAGTGTTCCGACTACGGTCAACTTTCCAATACTTAAGCTCTCATTTAGGGACTAAGTGTCCCAAACTCTCCGAAACTCAAAACCGAACATCCCGACAAATTAAAATAATAGAAATAAACTTGGGGAAAGCAGTTAATAGAGGATCAAGGCATTAATTCTTAAGACGACCGGCCGGGTCGTCACAAGACTCAACAAAAATCTTCAAGCTCTCATATGGAGACAATTAATATCTTTCTAACTCTATTATTGAATGCAGATTGTTAATGCGCCAACTGAAGCTCCCAACTCTGAGACATAACTTAGGAGAAGGAAATGAAGTGGAACACCTTTTCGCCAAGGATGTTGTTAAGGACTTCTCCCCTGCTAAGTATTTTTACCATGCTCGTCCACCCCCTTTTATTGAACTGGAACTAATCAGGAACAAGCATGGAATTTGTAATAGTACAAAGTATCTTCCTACTTCTATTTGAAATAGTCTTGCCACTCTAGGCAACAGTAATGTCCTCAGGGACTACGTAATGTCTATGTAACCTTTTGTTTAATAGTATAATCTCCGTTTTCCCTTCAAAGAAAAAAAACTTAAGACTAAGGCATAATTAATTTTTGAGGAACTTTCATAAAGCATTATAGTTTAGAGTCTAATTATCATATGTAACTGTACTTTGCCTAATTATCGTTTGTAACTAATGTATCAATTTCGTTGTATACAGATATCACTGTATCAATCGTTGTCAAGTTGTATAACGAATACAACTGTATTCCTTCGTGCATAGTGATTGTATCAACGAATACAATTTTGATGGAAAGTTGTATCAACTGTATTTGTTCGTCCATAATGGATGTATCAATGAAAATTTGATGAAAAAGTTGTATCAACTTTATTTATTCGCACATTCAAATATGTGAAGCTTTCAATCTCGAATTGCAACGAATTAGCAACATAATCCCTTGATGCGTGAAACTTTTCTTGAATCAATTCAATCTCGAATTCCGCCACTGATGAAGACTTGAAGCTTCAAAGTTGAAACTTGGGTTTGAAAAATTAAAATAATTTCAGACTAGGTGTGAATCTAAAAGTTTGAGAACATCTCGGGGAGCTTATATCTCATATTTAGAATGATTTTGGGCATATTTGACGTGGTTTTGGATAGAATTTTAAAATGAAATTCGAGTGTGTGTAAAGTGTATGCCTTTATTTTGTTCTTAACAGGTATTTTATATGAAATCCAAATGTAGCTATGTACTATAATTATTTTGAAATGTATTTATTTAGGACAAATATAGTGTATAATTTAGTTACACCATGTAGATTTTCCTTAATTATTTTTAGAATGAGGCATAAATAATTCTTGATAATATTTTTGTGTATATATGTGCATAACCATTTGTAGTTATTATATAATTTATGTATATTGACTAAGAAAAATAAATAATAGATCTATCTGACTACTTGTGTAAAGATCCCAGGAAAACCTTCTACTTGCTATCATCATTGGGCTTCTTAATGTTGCATATCGGCCCAATTAAGGTTCTGGCAAAAGAAATGGGCTCTTCAACCCGACTGACGGAAACAGTTCAGGGGGTTGTATAGACAGGGTACTGAAACTCGATCACTATTTGCCGGGAATTGATCTAGTAGTAATTTGAGATCCGGTGAAATTCTCATTTGCACATTTTCTCTAGAACAAGAATGGGGGTGATAATCGAGAACAATATTTGGGAGCCAAATCCAGCGCTGTATTTATTCTTCTTCATATCATGTTGCTTGTCAATATATTATTTGCCAAACAGTAACAGAAGTACTCCTGCCGTCTTCGATCACGCACCTTCCTCTTCCTTCCTTCGTTTTCAGAGAAGTTTCCTCTTACTCTTTTCTCTTTCTTCAGGTGACGCTATTTTCCCGCTTCTTTTGTCTGTCCACTGAATGTAGTGTTAGGAAATGTTATGTTCTAACTAATTCATAGATTTCAATTACAGCTAAAATTGACGCATAGTAGTAATGTACATGTTTCCCTGTTTGTTAACTGTATTGTGAAAAGATTTCTTTGTTGCCAAACGAGAAAAATGAAACTCAGCAAGTTTGGTAGTTTCTGGATGTCAAAATTTTAACTTAAAAAAGAAACGAATTTAATCTGTGTGACTTAGCTGTGGAAATGGTCAAGTTGACTCTTCATAAATGAAATGTCTCAAACAAATTGGGGTAGATGGACTAGCTCATAATACGTGACGTTGGGCATTTTTTCCGAGTTAGATATTTTTGTTCATAGCTATAGTAGATCAATACACGGTCTGCACAAAGTTGAATTAATCAAGTTCAAATTTCTCGTTCTATCGTGGAGTATCCATAGGAAATACATGCAGACATACTTCCAAAGCAATGCGCTTATCAGATTCAAAGTGTATTCAAGACGCAATGGAAGCTATTCTAACAAATTGAGTTAAAAGGTGTTGGTCGAGGAATCTTTACATCAGACATGGAGTCTGAATCAAACCCATGTTAGACTTGATGATTAATGTTAAAAATGAAAAATAAACACATGTTACAACTGATATTGAGATACTGATGCAAGTTCTTCCGTTAATAATTTGTTTGTTAGTATAATATACTAATTAACATAGAAGAAATTAAGAATGAATTTTCAAGCTGATCCTGACATCACAGAATTGTCAAAATGCTAATTTAACTTGACGGAGATATGGTAATTACTTATCATTGAGCACATGTATAGGTGTACCCTCAGATTGCATATTGCGTCAAACAAAAGCATATTTTTCTTTTTCATTACGGACTCAATATAGTTAGTATATCTTTTTTGTTATCAGTTTGGATTCAAAATCATTTATTTATTTATTTTAAGTTTACAGTGATGGAAGGCTTACTGGCAGTATTTGGAGAGTATGAGTTGGCGTACCATGGCGTTGGTAGGGAGCAAATGGTCATCTCTCTAAGTATTGGATATGCAGCTGCTCTCTTTGTTGGTACCTTTTTGGGCATGCTCTCGGATTTGATGTAAGGGGCATTTTTGTCTAACTTTTCCATTGTTTACTAGGTTCCCTCTCTCCTTGCATAACCATTAAGGTTGGAATTAAAGTCGTTATGTTTGACTTTAATTAATTCATCCATTCAAAGTAAATATTAGATAGTAGAATAAAATATAATGCAAGTGATGAACTTTTCTTTATCACTTTTAAAAAATAGGTAGTATAGTGCAAGTTGCCAATTTCACGCATTTTGAGTTCCTTAAAGAAAAAATTCAAACTCTTAGGCTAAGATGATTTTGTTCGATCTCCGAAGTGAAACAAAAATGCCATTTTTTTATGGAAAGGTAAAGGAAACAGAACTGCCATTTTGGGATAGAGGAAGTATCGATTTGATCTTCGTTCCTTTGATGCATTCTTTTTGGTCTGTGACGTCTTTTTCCTTCTGAACTTTCCAACAAAGCTTGAACTTGAAGCTTTGCGTTTGGACAGCAAATGTTTTCAAAACTAAATGGTATTGGGCCATGATAAGTATCATTGTTATTTTCAACCGATTATTGCTCTCAAATTCTGATGGAGCACCATATGTCAAATCATTTTTTTTGATAAGTCAAGAGTACCATCTGTCAAGCTTATCATTGTGTTGCCTCTTCATGCAGTGGCCAGAGAAAAGTGTGCTTGTTGTTTTGCTTGCTGCATCTTTTTGTTGCCATATGGAAGAGGGTTACTGGACATCCAAGTGTTTGGCTCGCTAGTATCTGTCTCTCTCTTGCCTCTACGATATTTTTCTTCAACTTTGAGACATGGATGGTTGTTGAGCATGATAAGGTTTGTCTTAAGGATCTCTTTTGTTACTATTATATGACTTACTATTGCACGTGGGAAGTACAATTTTGAAGACTTGTTACCTCAAAATTCCTATCCATTTCTTGAAATGAATGAATGTAGTAAATCTTTATCGAACAAAAGAGAAGAAGAATGAATGTAGTAAATGCAAAGAGGTTAGAGAGGGGGACCGTGGATCTATAGTCTTTTAGAATTGCTTTCTTTGGCAGCTACTTTAGCCAATTTTACACCTATTCATGCGGCCGCTGTAGTGACATATGTGATTATATATGAATATTTCTCTCTTGGGAAGCCTTCAGAGTTGGATTTTGGATTTTCTCCACAACTTTGAATCTTTTATACTTGAGTAAGCTAAGTTCTCCTTATAATCGTTATGCAGTTTGGGCAGAGGCAGGATTCAGTTAATGACATGTTTTGGTTAATGACTTTTGTTGAATCTGCATCTTTTATTGGAAGCCAAGTGGTTGGAAACTGGTTAATCAGTGGTCATGAAAAGACAAGTTTGCTTGCTCCGTCCAGTGCAGTGGTAATAATGGCTCTTATTTCTCTGGCTTGTGTCAGCCGAGGATGGAGGAAAGATCCAAAATCAATTGTTCTTAAAGATTATCAAACTAAGTTTCATACCTACATACTTGGTGGTATGCGTCTTCCATTTTTGTGCTTTTGTTCCTTTTACTGAAGATATTTTGTTTGTGCAGTCGTATTGCATCTATGTAGCCAAAGCAATTATGGTGAGCAGGAAGAATGACATTGAACTTTTTTGTTATCACAATATAACTACGGGACACGTTTTATAGCTGATTATGACATTAAAAGAAAAATTGAATCAATGCTGTGAATCTCACCAACCTGATTTCCCACTCTCTGCTCCAATTTCTCCCTCATTCGCTCTACCAGACTATGTGTAGCTACCTGGTTTTTCTTACTGTGATCTTCTTTTGGTTGGTCGACTTAGCTCGAAATAACCAAGCCCTTGCTTGAGCACAAAATTCTCCATGTACTCCCGGTAGCTTCATGCCTCAAAATTGCTCATTTGCTTGGTGTTGAGAAGAGCATGAAAGCATAACAGAGCTATAAAGCAGACGGAAAGTTGTCCTTGTAATAAATATTAAATACTACCAGTTTGGTAGTCTTCTAATAGAAATGAGGTTGTACCTAACTTTTCGTCTTTTATGTTATTCGAAATGAAATGCGTAAGAAAATTAAAATGGTCCAGTTCCAGAAATTACAAGTATTTTGCAACATCTTAATGTGGTAAACTGAGAGGGAGAACATGCATCTGGTACAAAATACAGTTTTTGATAATGCATTAATAGGACCGGTTGGATCGAAGCCTTAATCTTTTCCCAACTGTATTCTTGGCAGATAAAAGGGTCTGGCTTTTGTCATGGACCCAAGCTGCCGTCCACTTCTCAGTTGCTGTTTTTTGGATTATTTGGGCTCCAGCTATTGTGGTATGATTTTGACTAGCTTCCTATAAAAGATATTGTTTCCGCATTTCTGACTTCCCTATTTTCTCATTGAAAAGTTTCCTAAAGGAGTATTAAAATTGCTAATCTACTTGAAGAGAGTAGTTGATGAGCTGGTAGCTGAGTTTATCTGTATGAAACAACACATCCTTGATTGGATTTAAAATGTTTAAAATTTAATATAATAGAAATTTTGTGTCTCAAAATCTGAAATCGAATTGTATCAAGGAAAAATGGATAGAGGGAGTATTCTAGTTACTACTGTGAGAAGCCTTCTTTGCAAAAATATGATGAGATTCATTAAGCCTTCTTTGGAAGGTTGATGAAATTCATTTTTATAACGAGAGAGAGTGGGTTGCTGACTGTTTATGAGACACATTAAAATGTGTGCGAGTGGGTTTATAAGTGATTTTGTGAAGCCATCTTTTTATCATTATAATCCATAGGTAATCTTATGTGCCCAATATCTGTACCTCTTAATCTTTGTAAACATTCCTTTATCAGGATGAATATTTAACATTCCTTTTTTCCCCTTCTGAAATCCAATATCACTATATTTGTTCCTGTTCCAAAAAGATTGATATAGTCTCCTTAAAGTTTGTTCGGATTTTTAGGCAGATGGGAGAGAGGTTTTACTAGGTTTGATATACCCCTGTTTACTTGGTGCTAAAATGCTTGGAAGCACTGCATTTCCCTGGTTCTCCAGTGGCCCTTTATCATTTCGAACAGAAGAATGCTTAGCATATGCATGTATTGTTATGGGCTTCGTCACTTCCATTGTGGCTTTTGATTATCAGGTATTTTACCAGTTCTCGTTTCTTCAAGCTGTTCAGATATCAAGTGATGTCGTCAACCTTAATTTGCGATATAATTGCAGGACATTGAAATTCTTGTGATGCTATTCTGCATATTTCATGCTTGTGTGGGATTGGTTTTGCCTTCACTTGCCAGATTGAGAACCATGTAAACTTTGCTGCAGTTATAAATATTTTTTATCCATCATGGCTTTAGTAATTGTGAAAATCCAGCGTCGCCTGCTCTCTCATGTATTTTACTGGAGATTTATTTTACTCAAGTTCCTTATCTTCCTGCAATATGCAGGTATGTGCCAAATGAACTTCGTGGAGGGATGATGAGTTTATCCATTGCTCCTTCGAATGCGCTTATGTTGTTCTTTCTGATTCAGGCATGTTCTCTTTTACCATATTATTTTATTTAGTATTTCATCAGAAGAAATCCTCTCCACTGTTTATAATGGCACGTTGTAACTTATTTAAGGACGTAGTGCTTGAATTACACCTAGATGCTTGTTGCTTGGGAAATTTAGGGTTCTGTGAATTATCCACATCTTCTTAGTCAAGATAAATGCAATAGAGTTATTTTTATTCTATTTTTATCTTCTGGATAACGTTTTAATTGATCGTATGGTGCAACATGTCATACTTCATCGTGAGATACTTTCTTTTTCTGGTGATTTGATGAGTATTAGGATTATCTGCTATTTCTTTCTTTCGAAAATTTTGCAGAGAGGTTTCTACCAGAGGATTGAAAATTCAACAATTATAGCTATGGCCACTCTTGGTCTTTTTTCTGCAGCTGGATGCATGTATATGTTAAAGCGGCTTGGAAAGCAACCACACCAGAACTGGCACAAATTATGAGCCCTTCCATATTTTTGAAACACTTCTATTCGTGTTGGGTGTTCCTGTATATAGCCGGTTAATTGAAAGTTTAAAGAAACTGCAGCTTTGGGATGTGATGATGGGTGCAAAGTGACATCCTCTGCAAATGGAATATCAAGAATGAGATTTAGCCGATTTCAGCATTATATTATTCTCACATTGCTTAAGTAATGAGGTCCTTTGGGAGATCAAATCACAGGGAGTTCAATTTTGCTCTCGAGACACTTTGCACTTGATGCCCTGAGAATGCTAAATGAACACTTTGCTACTGATAAGTTTTGGGAAGACGCACAATATCCGAGAAGCAATAGCGTGCACGGTGGCTTATAGCCTGTTTGGCCAAGCTTCTCAAGACAAAAAAGTGCTTTTTTTTTTCCAAAAGCACTTTTTTTTCCTAATTTGAGGTGTTTGGCCAAGCTTATTTGGGAAAAAAAAAGTGCTTTTGGGAAGAAGCAGTTTCAGAGAAGCATAAAAAAGTAGTTTCTTTCCAAAAGCAGAAGCAGTTTTGGCTTTTCTTCTTACCTAAAATACCCTTAATAAAATATAGTATATACCAAAATAACCCTTAAACCTAATACTTAGGATATTAATTTATAAATATTTCTTCTTATTTTTAGGAAACTTTCTAATATATAGTGTTTTTAGGGGTGAATTCTTTTTATATTTGTTGAAGGAATTTTAATATATTTAACTTATATTAAAAGAATTAAGTACTTTTTAATTTTATTTTCATATTTTACTTAAATAAAATGAATTTTTTTTAACTATTGCATGTAATAACAAAATTTTGATATTATTTATTTACTTATAATATTAATTATTAAGTAAATATGTTCATGTCTTTATTCGTAATTTGACACTTAAAAGCACTTTCTAAAAAGCTTGGCCAAACACAAATTATTTCTCAAAAGTGCTTTTCAGACTGATTAGCCTAACACAAACTGATTCTCTCCGAAAGTACTTTTTTCAAAAGCACTAAAAACACTTTTCAAAATAAGTTGATTTCTCCAGCTTGGGCAAACAGGCTATTAATTTGCATTATTTAACGGCTCTTCGGAGTTCTGATGACCAGTGGAAAATCTCGGAAGCATCTTAAAATGAAAGCGGAAGGGTAAGAGGGGTTTTCTCTTTCCTTCTTTCTCATTTATTCTTTAATAACTAGACGTACAGGATCACTCGATCACATCCTTGTGGTATGTTCTTCAATTATTTGGATGGATTGCAGATATTATAAATTTGAAGCATGATTACGTAAAGAATGACTTCACCTAATGACATTTTTCAATGGAATAAATTTTGGTGGGATGCTCGTCTTGGAATGTATGTGCCAGATTTCAGTTTCATTTAAAATGGATGAGGGCGACGGAGCTTTTTTTTTTTTTTGGTTAACAAAGGAAAGGATATGAATTTATTATTGAAATTGACAAATTATTGGTCCAATAGGTTAAAAACTGAGTGAGGTGGAATGGTTTTGTCCAATTCTCTCTTGATTAGGCCGCTCAACCCTCACCAATTCTTCGACCGCTCAACCCTCACCAATTCTTCGACCCCACTAATTTTGTTTTCGTCTTGCGTTGGAGGCTAATGAAGTTTGATTTGAGTATACATGACAGTCCAATTGAAGTTTTTTTTGGTTTCTCGGGCGTTTGTTACCCGCATTGAAGTATGACTATACCTGGATTTGTGCCGCGTAGGGCCCCATTCAAAGGGAGACGCTCTTTATCAAGGATTTTTTCATGCCTAGGATTCGAACCCTAAACCTCTGGTTAAGGGAAGAGCAGCCCCATCCGCTGCACCGCATCCTTTGCTGGTCCAATTCAAGTGTTGATAGTTTCTCTTCATATCAATGTAAGGGGTCGTCTTGTTTGGTCCATTAGAACAAATAATCTCAACATACAACTTTGTATTATATTTATATGGTTTAAAAATCGTACTCCCTCCTTACAATTTTATATTGCAGATTCTTTTTTGTACAAAATGTTTTCCATTATCTTTAACCAAAAAGTATGAACTTAAGTTCTTATTATGTATTTTTTGAATATGTAAATTTCATTTCAAGAAATGAATGAAGTAATGAGTAAATACTTACAGAAAAATCTAATATTTGGCAGTTGTACTTGGTTATTTGTATTTCCCGTATCTTAGGGTATTAAAGGTGCTGCTTCCAAAACGACCTGTCCGTTCGTCACTCGTTGCCTGAGTGAGCTTCCAAATAGATTTCTAGGTATCCTTACATACCTTCAATAATAATTTGATCTATGGTGTTGTGTTTTTGCCCCAGAGGCTTATTGAGACTTGAGTTGGGGATTCATTTTCGTCATAGTTGCACCTTTGAATTTTTCAATTTAATCTGTTTCGAAAAGAACGTCACTAATTTGCAAATAGCTAATTTCTACCACAACAACAATAATAGAGATGTCATATCTCAATCATCATCGTCCTACAAAACGGGAACGCCAATTACTGAAATTAATGATTGCGTACCCAACGTGGAGTCCGAAACCTAAATGTTGTTGATTTTGACTCAAAATATGTTTTTAATGCTTAAAAAAATTACATTTTTATATATAACGCGGTTTTACATCGCGCTATATTTTAACGGTGTTTTGGCCATTAAGTATAGTGCGATATAAAACCGCATTATATATGTATAGCGCATGAATAAACAACGCTATGTTGACCTGATGTGATGGATATGTATAGCACATTATATAACCGTTATATATATATATATATATATATATTATATATATATATATATATATAGCACCATTATGTACCATGCTATACCTGTTTGTGGGCCCACAAATAAGACTTCTGCGGTTAACTGACATAACAATAATTCAAATGGATATAGCGCTCTTTAAAAGAGCGCTATACATCAAAAAATTCAGCCCCGAGCTAGGCATTGCCTTATTTAAAGGCGTTAGGATTTTATGAAAATCCATTCAAAAAATATTCTAACTTTCGTTCAAACTTTTCTTTTTGTTATCAAGCATTTTTTATAATGTCTGAAGAGCGAAAAATAAGAGTTTCATTATAATTGGAGGGGGGAGGTTGTAGTGGAGAATAACTCTATGAGGTATAGTTTATTTCCATAGTGTCAAGCTAAATTACCGCTTACAATGGAGTACGATACATTGGTATCGTTGTTACGTAAAAAAATGAGTGTGAGAAAACATTCGGTGAACCTTAAAGTAACCGGTAGATATTTGTATTCTATGACTCCGCAGGGCTTTGCTTGTTATTCTGAGTTTAACATCGAAGATGATGAAACTCTGAGAGATTTTTTGCGGATTCCGGATGAATACAGAGAATTTATTGTGATAAAATTGTTGGAAATGTACGTCAAGGCTGAAGACGTTAGCAATAATGAGATTGCACAAAGCAGGGATAACCCCCAGTCATCAGGTGGTTATTCTGGAGCAATTTTAGCCCAACAGGTTCCGGCTGAAAGAGTTTGGCCGGATCTTAACTTATCTCCGCGGGCAAACGAGGAGCGAATAATTTCTCTCCTACTTTGCATAATCCACAAGATGACTGGTAAACTTCAATTTTCCTTTCTGTTACGATTTTTTTTTTGTTGAATTGAATTTGTATTAACACTTATATATTCCACATGGGGTACCGTCCGGATATGAATTTTACAAGTTATGACCCCATGCCCAGTTGGAATATGCATAGTTTTGGCGTGTTGGATCACGGTGGTCCATCCGGGAGTCATCATCAACAGGAAAATATCCATCATGGAATGTCAACACAGTACGACTTGTAAGTGAAGTGATATAGCTATATGTAAAGTATTTATCAATTTGAGTAGCTTATCATTTTGTTGTTTGTGAAGTGAAAACGAGCAACTTGATGGTCCTGACCTCACTCAGTTTCAAGTAGACAACATATTTACTCGGGATTTGGCAGATGCGCAGAGTCAGGAAGATAATAGTGATTATGACAACAATGCCGATGAGTCTGGAGATGAGACACCCTTCCTTGACGAGGGTGATGATGAGGAGGAAGTGAATGTCGAACTTGAGCTGACGAGGGAGCATGCTCCTCCACCTCCCGTTAGACCAAGAGTGTACGAGTCCCACGTGCCGTTTCATTCAAGGCATATTCCCTACCTTGATAATTTGCTAAGTATGCCGAATGTGGATGCCCTCACAAGTGATGCTGACGAATTTCGGTCAGCAATATGGGATAAATCTAGACCAACGGTGCTGGCAAAGGACATGTATTTTCCCAATAAAGCTCGCCTAACCAGGGCTGTAAAAATGTACAGCGTAAGAGAGTGCCGTGAGATGATGGTATGGGAGTCAACTCCGGAGGTATACAAGGTTACATGTCGTAGACACTTTATGGGTTGTAACTGGATGTTGTGTGCGATCAAGAAGGAAACAGGGTTGTGGAGAGTGGATAAATATATTAGCACCCACGTTTGTGAAATGGACACATTCAATGAGAATCACTTCAACTTGGATGTAGACTTGATTTCTCTTGTCTTGATTCCACACTTGGAAGTGTCCATTAGGTACAACATCAAAGAGTGTATTACATCCATCCATCAGGAATATGAGTGTACTATAACCAAAAGAAAGGCATATCTCTGGCGCAAACGTGCATTTGAAATTATTTACGGTGACTAGGATAAGTCATTTTCATCTCTACCCAGGTACATGGCCGTACTGAAACACTTTAACCCCAGGACTGTTGTTAAATGAAGGCATGAGCAGAGTCTGGGAATACCAAAATATATATTCAGATTCGTGTTCTGGGCATTTAAATCAGAAATTGATGGTTTTGTGTATTGTCGTCTGGTAATTTCCATAGACGGTACTCATGTCTATGAAAAGTATGATATTAAGCTATTAATCGCAGTTGCAGTAGATGCCAATGGACAAATATTTCCACTAGCTTTTGTCATTTGTGCCAATGAAAGCGAAGAGACGTGGACGCTATTTTTGAACCAATTGAAGTAGCACGTTGTCAAACAGCGTTCAGGTATTTGTCTAATATGTGATCGGCATGGTGGTATATTAGTTTTGTGCGGCATTTTCCTGAATGGCAGGAACCCTATGCATACCACCGTTACTGTGTGAGGCACCTGAAGGCCAATTTTTAGAAGAAATATCCCCCCA